TATAAGCTCTAAATATTTTATATATTAAATTATATATTAAACTTATATTTATATATATTTATTTATATATTTATTCTTTATATATTTATTTATATATATTTATATATTAATATATCAATATAATTTATATATAAATACTATATTAATATCTAACATATCAACTATATATAAAATATATATCACTATATATAAGCTACATATATTTTATATATATAACTTATATCTATAAAAATAATATCTATGCTTTTATATATATAGATTATATATAAAAATATATATCACTATATTTTTATATATTTTATATATATATCACTTATATATATATAGTGATAGATAGATAGATAGATAGATAGATAGATAGATAGATAGATAGATAGATAGATAGATGTAGTTTATATAACAATAAGCTAATCAAAATTAAAGAAGTTTAATTTATATGCAATCATGATTGATATGCAGCAAGGTTTCATTCTCCATAATTCACCTCTTTTTCAATTATTACCCACGTTTCCTTCAAAATTCCCAGATGTTCTCCCCAGCATGTCCTGGCAGCAATGAGATCTTACTAATTCAGACATTATTAGAATAATTGGGGCCTCTTAAAGGACCACCAAAAAAACCCCAACAAACCTCTAATAATCACAACCCTTTACTCACTTCAGGGTTTGGAAGGATAAAAGAAATTATTGATGTCCCAGTGTCAAGCTCAGACATCTTGTACATAAACTGAGAGTTCCCCCTAAAAATTAGCTCTGTAGAACAAAGAACAACAAAAAGAAAGTATTATAACTTTTATATGGGCTAGAAAAGCCTTCCTAGCAGTTAGGCAAAGGAACAGAACCAAACATTTTCAGGCACTGCTGGAGAATGACACTCCAGCTACTTCCACACAATTTGCTGCCAGGGATTTATGTAATTCACTAAGCAGATTTTCAGGAGGAATGAAGATTTCCTGATCACTTTAATGACATGAAGAACCTGCCTTTGGATGGGTTTATGCTATCATTTCCCCTCTGTTGGTGACCCATTAATCTTCCCAATGCTGCAGCAAGATTATATGTGTAATTCTGCACCTTCTTGATATTCCCTGCAGAGTTCTGCAAAATTCCAGGGTCTGCATGGCATATCCTGGGGACTACAACCCCAAGGGACTTTGGCAGACCGTGAGGTTTACTGTAAATGTGTTTATGCAAACCATTTCAACCCTTAAAAATTCCCAGGTGGCACCACAGGCAACTGCCCCTGATACAAAAGGGATTTTAAGATTCTTTCTTGCATTGTACGAGGATCCAAGTCACATCAAGCCAATTGAAACAAATCTGAAAAGGAAGGACATTAGCAGTGAGGATCCCCTGATTTGGGAAGAGGTTTAACTTTAAATTCCACCAAATTAATTTTGCTGATTAGGGGCAGGATTTTCCAGGGCCCCACGCTCCATTTCACAGGCCGTGTTTGAGGAGTGGTTGAACGAGGGGGTTTTTCAAGAAGTGAAGTTAAAAGTGTCCCTTTCTCTCAGCCTTCACATCTGTGCAGTTATGGGTGGAACTGGAACAGAGCTTTTCAGTCTCTTGAAGAGCCTTGATTGATATTTTGTGACAGGGAACTGCAGCTGGGAGTGAAAAACCTGCTCATTGTTGATTCTACAAAATGCAGCAAATTCCTTTTCACTGGAAAGACCAGCTTTAGCTTGAAGGAAACAATGGGAAATCATGTCCAGAGCTGAAAAACTCGGATTTGTTTTCTTTATGTGTGTTGTTTTGGTGTGGGGAGAGGAGGTGTTTGATTTCTGATTTATGACAAGTTATCAGCTTGAAGTTAAAAAAGTGCAAATATATGTATATATACATGATTAAGCACATTCTTCTGATTTCATACAGGTTCTGCCCTATAACATTAAATTTTGTATTGATTTACTGTGATTTGTTGCAGCAAACAAATTAAGGGGTGATCTAGGAATTAAACCAGATTTCAGGACTATCACACACCAGTTAAATGCTTAAAGGCTTACTGGAGATGGAGAACACCTCAGGAGGTGTTCAATCATGGTAAATTGAAAGTCTTATAAATAATAAACTGAAAATACCTCCTGATCTCCTGGGGAAAGTTTCTGAAATCAGAAGTTGCACCCAGCTTTTTGGAAAACCTTGATTTAAAAGAAAAACAACAGAAGTACCAGAGCTGCTGTGGCAAGAATTCATGTTTTAAGGATAGGAGTGAAAAAAAACCTTGAAGTAAAGAAATAAAGATATTTCTTCTGGCTCCCTGGAACTCGGTGAAACTTACCAGCAAGTGCCTCATCTCCCTGCCTTTACAGAGACATTGGCTGTGATTATTCCTTGTGCAATTTTAATTAATAGTAAGCCAAAACCCCACCACTTCAGTTCAAACAACAGCACTTAATGTGCTGCCTGAAAAATCTAGCTTCCTGCTGATGTAAAATTGCCAAATATTGGGGTGAGGGGAAATTGTACAGCATTTTAGCTACTGCAGATGAAATGTGTGAGGAACAAATGGATTAATTTGTTCCATTCAACGTTGTCACAGTCTGTGAAATTTATCCTGTTAAAGGAAGTGAGACTCTCCCTTTTAGCTCTGAGTGGGAGTGGATGGGGACCCTGAATTTGAAGCGCTGAATGGGTTTTGAAAAGATGCTGTAAGGTTTTTGTTGCAGTGAACACACAAATGTTGGAAAGCCTGAGGTGTTCTCATGCAGAAATGGAATTATGCACGTGGGAAAAAAGCTTGAATTTTATAAATTAGTCTGTTAATGCCACTGCATCTTATTTTTGTAGCACAAAAGTCGTTTTAACTTGAATTTTCCTGTTTCAGAACCAAGGCAGTAGAATGTCTCTGTTGTACCAAAATGTGCATTTTGATAAGGATTGTTTGGCTCACAACTTACTGGGAATGTAAGAAGACGCATTTCTGTGTTTTTCAGCCATGGGTGCTTGCTTTTATACATGGCACCAGGAGAAAGAACTGCAATTGGGATTTTTTTTTTTTTTTTAAATTTTATTTCTGGTGCATTTTCCACCAAAACACCTTTAAATCCTTACAAATATATGGCATATCCTCCCAGTCCTGTGACAAACAATGTATTTCCTGTCTAACATAATTAGTGTATACCCCAGTCATGCCATGGCTTAGTAAAAGCTCATAAGCTGAAGGAATTTTAATTTTTTTTTCTCTTAGGGTTTTTGTTTTGTTTTCATTTTTATCTGCATTACCTTTTAATTCTGAAGTTTTCCTTGTAAGTTATCAGGCACTAATTGTTGTCTCTTGTTCAGGAGGGGTTGGGAATGACACACACACACACAAAGTCTTGAAATTCTGCACCAAAATATGGTAAATATTGGCATGTGCTGGAGATTAGCAGTGCTGAGCATCTGGAGCACTAAGCCAGCAGATATTCACCCTGTAAAACCAAGGAAAAGCAAAGGGAACAGAGCTGGGTTGGGAAAGGACATGAGGAGTGAGGGACAGGATGAGAGGGAAATCCCCTTATTCCCAAACCCAGTCCTGTAGAACCTCTCACAGCAACAAGTGTTGATCTTCCCATCTAAACCAAGCAAGAGGATGAACTATCAGGTCAGAATCATCCTGGCAGCACCATCAGACACCAGCCAGGAGGAGAAATGACCTCTGTGGGTGGAAGAGGCTCCCTGTGCCTCCAGAACCAGGGGTTGGGGAAGCTCAGCCCAGCCAGGTGAGGATTTCAGTCAGGGACTCAGGGTAAATCTGACAGCCAGGCTGCCACTGAGCAGCACCAGGGTTTTATTTCCTCAGCCCCAGGCAGGACAGCCTGGCTCTCCAGACCACCAGGAACATCTCCTGTCCAGCACTGGCACCCTGAGCTCTGCCCAGCACCTGTGAGCAGGACAGGACCAGCCTGGGCAGTCTTTAATTCTCACCTTCCCATGCCAGCCCCGCTCAGGTTCCCAGGAATTCACGCTTTTGCCTGCTCCTTCATGGAACACATAAAAGTTTGGCAGCAGCTGGCCACAAGCAGCCTTGGCAAGTCCTCAAAAGCTTGTCTATTTCATGTGTCAAAAATATATATTTTTTTTCTTTTTCCCTCTGAAGCACCTTCCTAGATCTCTTAGGCCTCCACATCTAGTCTGTGTGTCACCTGTACAAATAAACAGGATGTACTTGGACATCTCTCAAGGTGTTTAAACACCACTGCAGTACCATTTGCAAAGGCTAAAAAAAAAACCTAATTAATTCTGTAATCTAAAATAAAAAAGGCATTTGCTCGCAAATCCAGTTTTGATTGATTTTTCTATCATGCTGGGGTTTCCATTATTTGTAACACAAAAGCACTACAGTGCTAAGAACACGGCTGTGCTCCTACTTGCAAGAAATCAGGGTCAAATTATGGCTAATTCCTAAACTTAGCCTCTAATACATGGGCTGAGTGGGATGGCAGCATCCTAAACTCTCAGAAGCAGCGCTGAAAATCATATCACAATATCCTTTTCACTGCTGGCAGCTTCCACCTCTCTGTTTATGTATATTTTCCACCTGGCAATTTCCATTCAGGTGCAAGTCCAGAGGGAGACTGATGGGATTTGGCAGAAAAGAAATTAACCTGGAATTACAGGACATAATGCCCATAATCCATCTCCTGGCACGGAGCTGGGGCGGGGAGCTGAGGCTAAGCCTTTGTGAGCAGATGTCTGGTGTTTTCCCATCAGATCCTCAGGATAAACCTCCAGCTTAGACACAGGCAAGCAGCAGGGTGCTGCTGTCCTGCAGCCACTGTTTCATCTGTGCCCTGGATAAAAACACACCTCACGTGGCCCTGAAGGCTCCAGAGCAGGAAAAGAAGTTTATGGGGACAAAAAGAAGGGGATGTGACGTGGGAAATTAAAGGGAAACACATGCTGAGAAAGAAACTGATGCTGCTCTATCAGGACACAGAGGAAGTGAATAAAATGAGGGAAAATCTTGCCTTCTGAAAGAACAAGCAAAGAGTTTGGTTTTGTTTTTTGGGTTTTTTTAAACCTTTATTTAATTTCAAAGTGTCCATTACAGATCCTCTCTTCAAGACTTGGTAAACTAGATGAAGAGCTATGCATTTTGGCTTTTTGCTACAGGAATAAAGTCTCACAACATGAATACCTCTAACTCACAATGGAATTTTTTTTTTCTCACCTTTTTTCCCAAGGCATCTTTGAGATGATTACCAGTGAATAACTGGCTAAACAATCTGTTACCTGCTTTTCCTCTCACCAGCTGGTAAAAAAATCTGCACAGACCACATAGTGCCAGCAGAAGAAAGCAGCTCTTGTTTCACTGAGACAGATAGAGGCTGCTAAATATAGATTTTACCAAACTGTTGGCTCCTGAGTTCGTAGGACTCATTTCCACTGTTTCTCAGTGGCTCCTTCTCATCCCCCATGTCACTGTCTTTCATCTGTGCAAAATAGGCAGGAGAAGCTTTGCTTTCATAGTGCCTGTCGAGAGATTTCAGGTGGATGAGCATGTGCAGAGCATAGGCCAGGACCAGCAGCAGAACCAGGGACATCACCAACCCCATCAGGATGGCTGGGGAGAGGAAGGATGCACAGTCTCTGGCGTAGGCAAAATGTCCTTCTTGAACGTTAAAACCCTGAATCTACACAGAGAACAAGAGGGATCACGTTAAATAAAGTTAACTGCTCCTGATGGCAGTTAAGAATTTCTGAATTAATACCCGCACATTGCAAATTTGTGCCTCCCGCTGGTAGCTGGAGCTAATGCTCAGAGTTTGTCCAGCTCAGTCTTCTGAAACTGCACTCTGCTGCCCCAGGGATTTGCTGCTGTGCTTCAAACAAAACCTTCCACGCTCCCTCTTGGTGTCCCAGCAGTATTTAATTGCGAGTGTGGCACCTTTCATGTTAGCTGTGCATCTCCAGCATCACCTGGAGCATCTCCAGAGCCCCTGCTTCAGACTGCACAAACTCCAACGTGACAAAAAAGGAAATACTCTCAAGTGCCTGCCCTAGGACAAGGCTTCTCTCACCAGTTCCACATGGGTGGTATGCAAACCAGCTTAACTACAGGAAGCTGCACCCAGCTGTGGAAAACACCAACAAGTTTTATTCGTGGCCTCAGGTCTAGTACGGATTTTGGCACTCTGGCACACTGGGAATTGACTGCTCCACTAAACCAGTCCATGGATGTTTTTCACACGGTGACAAAAGTGGATCAGCTTTTTCATTCCCTCTTTCAGCTCCTCTTGCCCACTGAATCAGGTATCCAAATGCCAGACACCCTAGTCCTGCCTGTCTTAGGCTTCCTCACTGTCAAATGCAGAAGAATTGGCACTTTCAGAAGATTATTAATCTCATCCTAAAATAAGGACTTAAGATGGGTCAGGAGAATTATCCAGGGGCTTTAGAGGCAGGCTGGGGTGACTATAATCAGAGCACAAGGTTAAAATTCTTAGGCAGCAAAAGTGAAGTGAGATGAATCTCATGCCTGGGTGTGTGGTGCTGTTATCAGTGCCCGAGTGTGAGAGCTGAGCTCAGAACGATGTAACGACAGGAAATTAAATTCACTTACCACTAGAGGGAACACAAGCAGAAAGACTACCGAAAACCTCATTTCCTCGCATAAGAAATGTCTACGTTTCTGTTTGGTGCTGCATGTGATGCCTGGGGATTTCAGCTTTTATATTTCCCATGCATTTGTAACCCTGCAGTTCTTTGGGGCACAACTCCAAACCCCATGTGCAGGGTCAGCTGCTGCTTCCCCATTGGGCTCAGACCCAGCAATTCCTCTCCAGGCCTGGCAATCAAGGACACCTCAGTGCCTCAGGCCCCAGAAATGCAAACAAAAGGGAGCTGGGGACAGCAAACTGGGGCTGAATGGCTTCATCAATTCCTGCAGCTGCAATTGGGAGATCAACCCCCGGTGTGCAAATGGAGCAGACTTAGAAAAGTGGGGAACCCGTCAGCCCTGCTCCATTTTGGGTGCGGCCCTGGGGGGCTTTGTGTGCCCTAAATGTACCTGAAGGCCCTTCAGCAAATCCAGCTGCTTTTTATTCCCTTCACTTGGCCTGGCCTCTGATTTTGGTTGCCCAAAAATACACCCCATGTAAGGCACAAGCGTAAAACGCACCGTCACAGAAGGGCAAAACCTGCCCTCAATCTACCCAGGGGATCCATCTGGCTGAAACCCATGCCATCACCTGGAAGTCGATGAAGGTGACCTCCCAGAGGTGAGAGAGGTCGTCTGCAGAGCTGGGGACGAGCAGAGCGTCGTATCTGTGCAGGCTGCTGACGTGCTCGCAGTGGAAGGAGTAGGCGGCCGGCGCGCGGATCCCCGTGGCGTTGAAGGTGGCCTGCAGCGAGTGGTTGTACAGCAGCTGCAGCCTGTGCAAGCTGAACCAGCTCTGCACAGACAGCTGGTAGGAGCTGGTGGTTAACAGGAGCCTGGGAACGCCGTGTCAGAAGAGAGATGAGTGAGAAAATGAGTCAGGGGATCGCTGCTGTTGAATTCGTGCCTTGGACAACCTTGTAAGATCAATGTTCGCAACCAGCTGGTATCAGAATGAGCTCTGCTCCTTTCCATGGGGTCTGGAAAGGGAGGGTTTGCACAGAGAGGGGCAGAGGCCTGGAACAGCTGCCCAGGGAGGGCCTGGAGTGTCCCTGTGTGGAGCCATGGCAGCCCCAGCTGGGCACGGCCTGGGGCACTGCTGCAGGGGACCCTGCTGGGCACAGCATGAGCTCCACAGGAACCTTCCAGCCCTAAATGCCCTGGGATTCTGGGATTTGAGGCTGTTCGCTGTGGCAGTTGAAGGAGTTTGGTTTCTCCCACAAAGCAAGAGGAATATGAGGGGATTTTGCTTAATTACTGGGAAAAATATGAGTGTGACACTGGAATTGTACCTCCACCCGGTGTGTGTGAAGTCAAGAAATGCTGTTCTCCTCTGCCACCAAGAAGCAAACACAAAGTAGGTCACAGTCTGATGTCTGTAGTGAATTAGCAATGTTTAGCTAAAATCTCAGACAGGGGAAGATTTTACCAAAAGAGATGACCCAAACTTTTCCACGAGTAGAAAAGTCAATGTCGAAGAAAAAAATAATCTTAACAAAACAAGGGATGTGGCAGACAGACATGCTGAATGCAGGTGTTTCAGTTATAAAAGGGTTTCTCTCACATTATTGTTGCTTAAAAAAATTCTCTTTAATTCCCCAGAGCAACTGCATAACAATGTATGTTACCATGCTATTATCTGGTAAGGATTTTATGGTATAAACTTACCTGATAACAAGTCCCTTTAGATTGCCAATATCACCAAACTTCAGGGAAAGCCTAGGTCAAAAAGGAAGTAACATCAGACTAGGAAAATATTCAGAAACCTTCAGGGGAAAAAGCAACACAAAAGATTAAGCTCAGGTATACATGGAATTTTTTTGCCCAGTCTACCCTTAATGTCAGTGGGGAAAAAAACTGACAGGATTAAGTCTTCCTCCAGTGAAATACTACACTCATTGAGCTGAAGTTCAGTAAAGTGAAATGCCCCCAGCCCAAAAGGCATCACTGGCACACACCCCATGAAGGGATAATTACCATGCACAGCACCTAAGCCCTACATTCAGCACAGGATCCCTCTCCAAACCCCACAAGCAGCTGTGTCGAAGAGCTGGAGGTGGAACAGACCCACAGCTTCAGCCCCATGGGCAGTGAGAGCAAAGCCGGCTGCCCCAAGGAGGGATCCAGCACTGCAGCAGCTGAGTGTGTGCATCCACAAAAGGCTGGGATTAAACTAAATCGCCCGCACACCATCAGGACAGCCTGGGGCTCTGCAGGGGCTGCTCTCCTCGTGCCTTGGAGCATCACCTACACCAGAGGCCAGACAAGACTGAGAGAATAAAGTGTTTATTTGCTAAAGGCCTTCAGTAGCTGCACCTTGGGCTGGCAGGAGCCTCCCAGGGCCTACACCAAGCTGGACAATGGTCACCAGTGTTTCACACAGTTCTAACTTGGGTCCATTCACATCTCAGGGTTAACCCTGCAATTACAGCTTCAGCTAATGAAGTCATTTAGCCCCAGTTTGCTGTCCCCAAGTCACTTTTGTTTGTGCTTTTGGGGCCTGAGGCTGTGGGGTGTCCTTGAGCTCCGGGCCCAGAGGGATTGTTGTGTGTGACCAAAGTGTGAGGACAGTGGCTGACACTCTGCATGCAGCTCGGAGCTGTGCACCAGTGCACTGCAGGAGCTGAAACATGAAAAAACTAAAATCCTGAGGCATCACTCCCTTTGCCCTCCCCAGAGTGGCTGTCTGGGCCCAGTTCCACCAGCAGAGCAGAATTCCCCTCACATGGCGCTGTCCTCGCTGCAGTTTGAGTCCCCAACGTCCACGCTGGCATGGACACCGAAGGTCCTCTCTGTCAAATCCAGCTGGGTCTGGTTCTCCAGCCTGATGATGATCCTCTTGGCCCAGAACAGGATGCAGGGGGTGCCGTTCATGGTGACATTCAGGGGGCCGTAGTGGCCGTGGGGGAACGGCCTCCAGGGCGCTGCTCCCCACTGTCCTGCCCTGCTCAAGTTGTAGCTGACAGCCTGAGGGACCACACAGAGGAATTCTGTCAGAAGATGTGGTTTCAGGAGTTGCCATCTCACCAGAATACACGAGCCAGCCCTGGGCTGAGGGAGCAGAGGGATTTCTGGCTGTATCCCCCCCCAGCACGAGGATGGCACCTCACAGAACATCAGCCCCAGCACGGAAGATGTTCCTTTCGGCTGAAGACTCTCTAGAGCACCTCTAAGAATCGCTTCAGCCCCCTGGGAAGGACTCAGGTTGTGCCAAGGACACAGCCCAACACGCTGGAACACACGGGGTAGCTGTCCAGGTGGGATAAATTTGAGTTTACATTTACATTTACAGCAGGCAGCCCACCATATATCTGTGTAGGGTTTCCTTCCCTACCTGAATGGGTGCTGTTCCCACTTGGACTGCATATGGCCTCCCATACAGTGTTTCAAAAGAGCTTAATTTCCATTTTGCCCTTGGTTTTGTCCAAATTTGTATAAGTGCCAGTGGGAGAGCCTGGGGCAGAGGTAACTTTGCTTCTTGTCCCCATCTAACAATTTTTTGTTTGATCAAGTGGTTGATCTTTTCCAGCTGGCCACTTGACTGAGGATGGTATGGAGTATTCCACTCCCATACCCATACCCATACCCAGGTGGTGGCTAATGTGCTGCACAACTCTTGAAATAAAGAGTTCTATCTGAAGATATGGGACACCAAGATCAAAAAAGCGCTGGGAGAAGAAAAACTTTTATCGTGGGGGCTAGTGAGAGTAAAGAAATTCCTATAAACAGCCCCTTGGGATGTATTTTGACACACTGGAAGGAGCTGGCAGGTTATGGTGGCACAGAAACTAGAAGGGAACTTGTCAAGTTTTGTACTCAATGGTGCCACTCTATAGGCTTGAGGAGGGTGTCAAGTGGAACCTTAAAGCTGGAACCCTAAATTGTGAGGCCCTATTCCAGCTAATGCTCTTTCTTAGGAGGGAACAGAAACAGCAGGAAGTGGCTCATGCTGATATGTTTTTCACCCTTCAGAATCACCCCGAGTGGCAAAGAGATTGTGGGATTAGGCCACCCTCTGACCCCCTGGTGTTGGCTCTTGAAAAAGAAAATAAAGCTAACAGGGGAAAGCCCAAAGGGCTGAGAAAGAACTGAAGAATTCAACCGCCATTCTCAGATTTCACACTCAGATTTCCAGTCACCATCTCTGTCCTATCTAGACAGGATAACACACCCAATATCTGTTTCTAACGTGTCATTATGATTGGAAGCTCACATTAAAACAGGAAAGCTTTTCTGAGTCCCAGTCATAAACAGCATCTCACCAGGCTCCAGGAGGGACACAATTAAGCCCCAAGGTTTTGTCTTGGCTTAAAGAGAGATTTTTTTGTGTGTGTCTGTGTCTGCTGTTTAGATTAGCAAATCATAACTCTCAGCTCAGACCCTGAAAGATCCTTTTTGGTACTGGACCTTACATATGGCACAAGGATGTTTTAGGATTAAAATTAGCAAGCACTGGCAGCAACAAGCTGAAAGCAAGGCAAGATCATGGTCAGGAAATGTGCTGAGTGGCTATGAGTGTATTTAAATAAATGACAAGGCTGTCTCCTCAGAAGTCCATATGATTTATTCAACATGTTACTAACATTGGAATGCATCACTTTTGCTAAGGAAGCCTTTTATGCTCAGTTTTGGACAAGACCTACAGCCTGGTCTCAGGGAAAAACCTCCCACTGAAAATCTGAGGTTTTGCTTCAGCTCTTCCTTCAGTACCAACTGATATGAGAATAAGACTGGTCACAGCAGCCAAATCCCACTGTACAGAATATGGATATAAGGGTTTTTTCCTCCCAGAAATATCCTGTGCCCCAAGCCAGCCAGCACCAGCACCTCACTCCTAAGAAAAGCAGAGAGTATTTGTACAAGTGGTGAGGCAGGACTAAATCTAAAACAATGTTTTAGATGGGTTTTTTTAGCCATTTCTCGTAAACAAAGTTAAACAAATTTAATTCAGCAGCGTCAGCTGAAAAACCTAAATGTGCTGTGAAAAGACTTCACAGACCCTCCAGACATTACCTGTGCAATTGCCACCTGACTGACGTTAAACTTTGGCTTCACATGACCACTGTAACGCTGACCTGCAGAAGAAGGAGTGTTACTTCATCATTAGCATATCATAAACATCCATTTATAAACACATTTATAACTGTTTGCACGTTCTTACGCAAACAATAATTACCTCTGCACAAAATGTGTATGTCAGAATTACTGCTCTTGTCTTGGAAAATATTTGACTGCAGCAAATACTGCCTTCACTACATGTATTTTCTAATTTACCTTTCTTGTTCACCAAGATTCCTCTTGTTTTCACTGGACACCTTGTCACCCTCACCGTGAGGAACTCCAGTGCCCCAAAAATATTCAGTCTATGTCTGTATTTATTCATCCTAAACACAACAAAAGCTGCTTTTATCTTCATGCAGCAAATTCATCCAAGGGTATGTGAGAAACTGCCTGGCAAAAGTGTGATAACTGTGCTGGGAACTTTCTCCCTGCAGTGACAGAGACAGGAAGCTGTGACAAATGCCCTGACATCCCAATCCTCCATGCCAGGAGGGTGATGTTTCACAAGCAGAGATCATTTCATGGGCACTGTCACAGCTCCATCCTTCTAACATTTAACTCTGTTTTTATCTGGTTAAAAAAAGATGAAAGCTTTTTCCTTCCACATCCTCACTGCACCTCGGAGTTGGACAGTAAATTATTATTTTAACAGGCAAATCTTTTTAAGTGTATTTTTTAAGAGGGTCAAGCTCTAACAAAACGTGTGACAGAAGAGCCTCCAAGGCCAAGAGAAGCAGCAAACCTTCTACAGCCACACTAACAGAGTCAGCACCCAGGGATCCAGCCCACTGAAAGCCTTACCATCTCTCTGGAGAGATTCTTGGTCTGAAAATTCATGTGAACTAGGAGAGAGGAGAAAAATATTTATTGTGCCGCACCTGAATTCAAAGCTTGCAGCTTCTTTTGCGGTTTAGTGGGGAAAGTTCCTGTTGCTGCTTCACTCCACAGAACATTCCAAAGGTAGCTCAGCTCCTCGGATGGTGAAAGCCACAGGAAAAGGGCAAATTATCCCAAAGCTGCTGTAGCCTGGCTAAAAAATGTCTAATTTTCAGAGATCACTCAGCTGGACCAGCCCAGACAGGCACTCCAGTGTCCTTACCACGCTGACAAAAGGCTTTGTTACCCCTGTTGAGTCCCATGAACACCTTCCACATTACTGCAGCTTCCTTGGGACCTGCATCCCCCTTCAGTGGATTGATTTGCCCCTGTGATGGCCTCTGTCCCCTTCCCAAGACTTCCACCAGAATTCCCACTCTCCCAGCTGAGCACCAGCCCTCAGACCCTGCACATCCTGCCCTGTTTGTGCCCCTGCAGAACTGTCTCACCTTCCACTGCACATGGAAATACACTTCCATCTTCTTCTGCCCCATTTCTTACCATCTTTCCAAACCACCAAAGCAGAAAAAACTGTGGAAATACTCACACAGAGGCCGGCATATAAATATTAGGAATCAGAGCAGTTTTCAGTGTTTACGTGTAGATTTCACCATAAATTGTTGGAATTGCAAAGTCAGGGCTTAGTGCCCCTGGGGAGTGCTTGGGCAGCAGGGTGAGCCCTCCCTGGTGGGCTCTGGGCAGGGGGATCTCTGTGACCTGCTGGCACACACAGAAGGAGTGATCCCAACCTAATTTCCATCACAGCATCCTCAAGAGCAGATAAATACAAGTCCCAAGCAACAGTGGGACAGCCTAAAGCCCACCCTGCCTGCTGCCAGGCTGAAAGAACTTTATAAAGATCTTACATTCAGAAAAGGTCAACCCTGTTCAAATTATATCTGGCAGTTTTATTTACGTATGGAGAGGCCAACTTTGTCCTTGGTTTCAGCTCTGAGACCCCAGTGGCTTCAAGAAGCACTTTCAGAGTGGGTCCTCTTTCTCCCACTGCTTTTTTGGGTGCAAAAAGCAAAAAGCCTGGCCTGGGGTCTCCAGGGGGGTTGAGGGTGCTCATGACAACTGCAGATTTTAGAGATAGGTGGAAACACTCAGATTTTGACAGGCAGGTAACAAAAGATGTGTCTACAATGGACTAAAACTTGTTTTCTTGCTCAAACAAAACCCTCTCTCAGTCTGTTTTATGGTTAGGAACACGGGTCTTGTAATTTAATGCAGGGTTTTTTTTAACTCTTCCAGTCTTTCTTCATGACAGGTTGTGCCCTCAGGCTGAAAAAGGTGATTTGGGGGGCCAGGTTTTTCCACAATGATAGCTACAAAACCAGGGCATGCCAAGAAGACATGAGCATACATTATTTAGTTATTCTGACTTCAGTTATACTTAGTTGCAGCTATATATACACATATCTAGTTATACTTAAACTCCTCTCCATGTGCATAACTAAACACCATCTTCATATATGCAGAATTAAGTACTCATAGCCATTTACTCCAGCTTGGAAATCACCACGTTGGACTAAAACATTGGGGCTGGAAGAAGAATGGTGTAAAATTGTGCAATTCATTCCATTCCCTTACAGGTTTTTATGCTGTTTATGGAAGAGGAAAGGTCAGTTCTGTGACTCTCCATTAAGAAAAATGAATCCTGGCTCCTCCACACCCCATGCAGGCACAGCCACTCTGGAGGAGATGTCACATCTCTGCTTTCAGCATGAAGACACTCAAACGCAGACGAATGTGCACAGCTGATGAAATATTCATGTTTTCATGAGGAATGCAGAGCAGAGAGTGACCCACGTGAGGGGGTGCCTGCAGCCAGGCCCTCCTGCTAATTACTGGGCTAATTAGCAGTGCTGGCTGCCTGCTCTCCTCCTGCAGAAGGCATGCAGTGCCACCAGAAGGGAAATCCTTCACCCCACGTCGCTGTGGCACAGCACACAGGGACAATCCTGTCCCGGTTTTGGGGCAGGCACGAGTGGACCTTGATGTCATCAGCTCTGTCACCTGCCTCTGACACCCAGCCCTGAGGTGTGATCCATGGGCTGTCCACAGCCACCCTGCTGCCAAAATAGCAGCTTTTCCACCCAAAAAGCGAGCTGGGGGAATCCCCAGGCACCCCGTCATCCTCAGCTGGAGCACATCCCATGGAAGCAAAAGTACTCAAAGTGAGAAAAGGGAAAAGAGCTACACACTAAAAAATATGTATTCCCTTTGGATTATAGAAATGGTAATTACATGTGTAAGAGAAGAGAAAATGGCCAGCGTTAGAGCATTCTCCACAGGA